AATATATACAGTAAATATATTTTTAACATATAAAACATATTTTAATATATGAATATATTTTTACATAAATATATAAATTGTATATAAATTAAATATAAATATACATTATATAGATTCAAATATACACTTTCTGGTAGAGAAAGAGTGAGAGTAGGAATAACAAGCCCTGCTCTCACATTTTCCTCAAGATTTGGAACTGACTCTTAACAGTGGTGATGCTTTGTGGGTACTTTCTGAATCTCAGTTCCCTGGTCTATAAAATCCAAATCAGCAAGAAAGAAGGCAAAAGCCACTTTTTTTTGTCCACCACAAGGGAAATGTCATCTTCTAGAGGTGGGGTCCCAGGTGACATTCTATAGGATTATCAAGGATCGGAGAAGGCTCAAATGTCCAACCCTCCAGAGTTCCCCTCAACTTCCAGGAAAGAACTATTAATCTGGATTGAGCAAGTCCCAAGACTTGATCGATTGACTTTTAAGAAATGAATCTTATAGACCAAAGGCTGACTCCCCTAGGACCCACTCCCTCAGAATGAATTGAGCCAGCTCTCCCTGCTCTCCTCCATTTCTCTTTAATGCAGCAAGACTGGTGAAGTCTAAAACTGTTGGATTGAAACCTCAGGTGGCTGCTTTAGCAGAGGCACCCTGTGACCTAACTAAGTTGGGAGTGAGTCTTGCCACCCAGATATTGTAAAGCTGAGCATGAAAGCACCACACAAACTCGAGAGAAAAACTGCCTGAGGAAGACTTACCATCCACATGACAGACCGAGAGGTCACTTTCCATCACAAAGTACTCTGATGTGTCAATGAGAAGAGAATAGGTGCCCGCAAGAAAAATGAGGAGGGGGCAGAACTGTCGTTTTGCAAGAAATAAAAAGGCTAAATGCAATTATGGTTTTCGACTCACTGGTAGGATTAATGCAAACCTAATATTAAATTGGGGTGCCATTCCAATCCATTTGGCAATTATTTGAAGGAATCTGTGTTGGTAGCAGGACAGAAAAGTAGACACGGTACCATCAGGGATGTCCTTTTAAGCAGCCTTGTAAGGGATCAATTTGGCCACAACAAAGTTTACATTATACATATGCTTTGTGTAGGATTTGTAGTTTGGGGGTGTTTTCTACAAAAACATTTACAGATGTGCAATGTCACAATGTCTATCAAAGTATTGTTTACTTTTTTTAAAAACCTGGAAGCCTAGATTTGTCAACAGGAGGTTAGATACAGACCAAGATATAGCCATACATTGGCATATTCAGTAGCTGTTAAAGGATGAAGCTGATGTGTTTCTATAAAGATATAATTGAAAGAAAAAAGTAGTGTGGCTCTATCATCTAACTTATGTATAAAAGCTGGGAGAACAAACACATTTTTAAGTGGCTACCTTTGTAAAATTAATTGCTTACATAGGAAGAGGGAGCTTTTTAAAATATTAAATACTTTGTACATTAATATTATGAATAATATTATTAAACACATTTACATTGTTTAATCACTTTACTGAGGGAACAGATAACTCGGAGAACCAAAAACTGCTTCAAAAGTTATAAAAAATATTTAAGGAGATATTCCATCGACTGAAAAAGGGTACTATTAACGAGAAATAGATTTAACAGTTTTGATCTTAAAAATGCTATTGATGTAATAATATGTTTCATAGTAGATATGATAGACAGTTGAAGTAGTCTTTCAAATTATTTTTTTTTAAAAGATGAAAGCATGGGGCAGGGGTGGGAAGATGCGTAAATTAAATGTCAATCCCAGGAAACACAATACCTAATTGGAATTCTAGAAAAAGAACAGAGAAGGAAAAAAATCACTACCAAAGAGATAAGAAAATGTGAGAACAGGACATGTTTTTAAATTTAAAGGACCCATTTTGTACCCAACCCAAAGAGGATGGTCAAGCCCAGGACCTAGTCACATATGACATTTCATAACACGGGGTAAAGGACCCCCAAAGTATTCATAGTATAAAAGACAGGTCATACACCATGTAAAAAATCAAACTGGGCACTGGAGGACACTGGACACCAGGACCATGAAGGGAAACACCACTCGACCCAGAATGTGACATTTAAATTATTCTTCAAAGGGCACGTTAGAAGGATTTTCAACCAGGCCATCTCTTGAAAACTGTCTCGTGTTGACCAATGTCAATGAGTTACTGTAAATGGGTCCCTGAGATAGCGGTAGGACAGACAGATAGCTGTGGAATCCACAGAACAAGGGGGTGGCCACATTCCAGAGTAGAAAATGGGATTCGAGATTAAATGAGGTCCCAGGATCGGAGCTGCATGGCAACCAATACAGACTGGAGAGGGCTGTGGGGCTTCAAGAAACTGTAGAAAGAATGACAAGCAAGTTGATGGGCTTCTTCATGTGTTTGATTGCATTATGCTTCCCTAAAGACTTGGGATAATATACTAATAATTATACAGAAAGTGCTGATTTATATCTACATAACACTGAATATATTTTTCCTCCAAAAAAACCCACAAAAAACCAATAACTTTATTGAAGGATAAAAGAGAGATATTTACCTACCATGACAAGAAGTTAGTAGATAATTGATTGAAAAACTAAGAAATTGCAGTACATGTCAATCATTTCCGAGCAAAGAGACAGATAGCAAAGGTGGCAGCCAATGGTGGCATGTGGCCACATCTACAGATAAAGGTTAGGCAAAGAACTGACACTTTTCATCATACGTTTTGCGGTTCTGTGATTCTTTCTGTATTACACACAGTATATATATTTCTTGGGTGATACTAAACTTGTTGCATAGCTACATGTATTACAATATGAACATCACCATGGGGACACTGGTACAAAAAAATGCAGCTATTTAATAAGGCATACTGCCATCAAAGAATGTAGAATGGAATCAGAGAGAATGTCCAACTTATGGTAACTTGTTATTTAATAAGCAGCACTAGAAGAAGAGGTTGGGAAGGGTATCATTTCCAGAATACTATAAATTAGAAAAAATTTCAAGGGAAATGGCAAGTGTGGATCTCGTGAAATGCCCAATCAAGCCATTTGTCCATGATTATTGTAAAACAGTGTACAGACCTGATTCTTCTTCTGGCATCTCTGGTTCCTTCTGCTTTGGGTCTTGGGGTCTCTGTGCCTGTGCCATCTCTGAAACAAACAGTGATGACAGGATGTGAGAGTCCCCAGGCTGGACATAAGTAGGCAGTGACAGATGCTCTCAGTAGAACCAACTGTTTCTCTGACAAACTTAGGATCAAAGAGACTGAAGGAGTCCCGTCCTCTAGCCCCATCAACCCAAACGTTTCGTGTAGAGACTTCAGCACACTTTATGTGCATCCCTGCCTCTTGGCCTTGGATCTACTTGTCTCACTCCCTCACCTCCAAGTCTTTGCTCAGTTCTTACCTCCTCAGTGGTGGCTGATGGTCTCAATCAATACTGCACCCAATACCTACATCACACGCCGTAGACCCTCCCCACCCACTTTATCGTCTCTCCTTTCCACTGTGCATGCCACCTTATAACAAATCACACAATGCACTCATTGATCCTATTACCTGCCTACCCCACTAGAGGGGACATGCATGGCTAGTCTCCATTCACTGATCTATCCCAAGTGTGTAGAATAATGCCCAGCACATGGAAGCCACTCTAATATTTTTGGAATAAAAATGATAGGAAGAAAAGTGCCAAGTGTTAGGTTATAAGCCCAGCCCCCTGGTGTCTCATGAAACCACTCTGAGTGCCCATTCCCATGAACTGAAGGACCTTTCCATGTCCTGCTAACATAGTGGCCATGAGAAATCTGAATCTGAAGACTCACGGATCTGACTTTTGTGATTCCACTGATTGTCAGAGTTTGCAGGACTGATCTGGGTAGCAAGCCGGGTCCTGGGCTTCTTCCTCAGGTTTCATGTTCCTTTGGAGAGCAAGGGTCCATCATTCTCCACCCACAGTTGCTGATTCTGTGCAGCCCCCCAGGCTCCACCGGCAGAGCCTGTCTGGGGTTTGGCTAGCTCTCCTGGCATCAGGGGATCTCAGTGAATATCTTTTCCTGGGTACAGCCCAGTAAAGCTAAGATGGTCCCTCATGGGCTCTGTTTATCTGTAAGCCAACTACATGACACCTTGCATTCCTCTGATGCAAATGGCCCCAACAATGTGAGCCTTCCAGGGTATGGCTTTACTGTCAAGTATCGGGTGCCACGATCTACATCATGACACATTAAAGAACTGCAGTTCTGAGCCCCTCTTAGGCCATCCGTGGAAACCCGTTGGATAGCAGATTTACCTCCCCCAAAATTGTGGAATAGTACTGGGGTGGAGGGTGTGTGCACTGAGATGGCAAATGAATAGCTGGAAACCACCAAGGAAGGCAGTGCTATTAGCATGAAATCTACCCTTGAGATGAGCAAGTGATTGAGGCCCAACTCTGGGCCCAACACCTTCTAGGCATTTCACCCAAGAAACTCACAGGTGCATATGCCATTAGCCCCATTCTCAGAAAGAATGGGGGCCTAGTGTCAAGCCATCTGCCGGGGGTAGAGCTGGTTAGGTGGAGGCAGCCTTTGAATCCAGGCGGTTGGATGTGAGAATCTGGGATCTTAATCTGAAGACAGCACACATGTGCCCATTGACACATGTGCAAATGAACATGCAGGCTCACTCACAAATGAACATTCCTTAGCTCCGCTCAAGCAGACATGCTGTGTGCTGTGTGTCCTGGAAGATGGGGCTGATGGGGGCAGCACAAGTGGTCCCGACTTTCCCATCAGCCCCGCATCACTCATGAGATGTATGTTTCTTGGCTTCCTTCTGCATGAGAGGTCACCTCCTGAATCCCCACTGCCTTCTCCCACCCACCAGGAGGTACATAGGGCCTGCATTTCTATGACTCAGAACCTCTGACATCCAAAGCTCTGATAGGAACATTGTGCTGCCACCTTCTACCCTGTCTCCTTAGGCCTCACGCCTGCCCTTGGAAGAAGAGAAGCAGGATGTGGACCAGTACAGGCCTCTGGACACCCGCTGTGTGGGGTCTGACTCAGCCCCACGACTCTGGGCAATTTACTTGAGCTCTGTGCCTGTTTCCTTGTCTGTGAGACATGAGTAACAGGACCTCCTCCTTAAGGGTGTTGTGAAAAGCAAGTGCCAGTGCGCAGAAAGCACTGGGATTGAGGCCTGGCTTGTGGCAGGCAACAGCAAAGTTACAATTCATTCTCCAGGTCTGAGAGGCAGTCAGTTCTGCCACAGGTGACATGGACACCCCTAAAACTCACCACAGCAGGTGAAGGTGCACAACGAAAACCACATAGGTTTTTATGTGGCAGGGAAATGGGATCGGTAATACATTAAAAATAGATAGAAATTAAAATGGTGCACCTGAAACACATATAACATTGAATGTCAACTGTAATTGAAAAATTAAAAAAAGAAAATACAAGCTAAAAAAATGGTAGCACAGTATTACACTTGCTAACTGGTTATGACGCACAGTACCATTAAAAAAATACAACATTATAATAAATACCATGGCACTACAGTAAATAAATACTGCAATGCTACAATAAATACAATAGTAAGATACTGCAGTGTTACTGTAAATGCTACAACACTACAATAAATGCTACAGTAAATAAATATTGCAATGCTACAAATACACGGTAAGATACTACAATGCTACTATAAATGCTCAACACTACAATAAATATAACACTATAGTAAACATATTGCAATGCTACAATATAACAGTAAGATACTACAATGCTGCTGTAAATAATTTAAACACTACAATAAGTACAATACTTCAGTAAATAAATACTATATTGCTATAATAAATACAGCACTACAACAAATACTATAATACTACTGTAAATAAATGCTACACTATAATAAATACCATAGTGTTATAGTAAATACTGCAATGCTACAATAAATGCAACAGTAAAATACTACAATGCTACTGTAATTGAATGCTACAGTACACTACAATAAATACTGCAATGCTACTGCAAATAAATGCTACAACACTAAATACCACAATGCTACTGTAAATAAATACTACAATGGTACAATAAATACAACACTACAGTAAATACTACAACCCTACTGCAAATGAATGCTAGCACACCAAAATAAGCAAATACTATAGCCAGATGCAGTTTTGTTTTTTGTTTGGTCTGGTTTTGGATTTTTTTTTGCATTTACCTAGTGTTTCCTTTGGGGAAAAAAATAATGCATAAACAACCATGGAATTCCTGCTATGCTCAAAGCATTTTCTAATACAATTGCATCGGGACAAATTTGCCTTTTCAAGAAAAGCTTGTAACAGAATAAATGTGCCTCTTTCAATTCCTTCTCTGGCTAGGGATCCAAATCCTTATAGCTTTTACACCTTAAAGCTTTAAACCTTCACAGCCCATCAGGAAGATTCTTAGGGGTAATTAGCAATGTGGAACTACTCCATAAAATCCAGCAGCAGCCTCCTTGCTCCCATGAAGGTGCTGTACCCCTGTCCCCTTATCCCTCTATCCCCTCATCCCCATCGCTCTGCCCCATTCCCGATTCTTCTGTCCCCTCATCCCCCTGACCCCTCATGCCTCTGCCCACACCCCGTCCCTGCAACAGGCCCACTCACCATTTATCTTGGCTCTAACTTTCTCACATAGCGAAGTCAGATTCATGATCTCGAAGACCCTGAGGGCCACTTCCCACATCCACAGCTCAGGGGAAGTACTCACTCAACAGACACAGTAGGTTTGTGGGGTCACTGGCCTTCAGGCTGGCCCAGGGGATCTGTTCTCAGGCAGCAGCTTTGGGGACTTGAGGCCAAGCATGAACTCCTCCAGCTAGTACTGATCCAGAGTGAGCAGGTGAGACAGGAGCTTATCACAGGAACAGCCGTCAACAGACGGGTGAGCAGAAATCATCCTGCCTGGCCTACAAGACTCTAGCTTCCCCCAGGTCCTCTTACTTCCACTAGCAAATGGGACCCGAGAAAGAGTTGAAGCCATGAGCCATGACATTCACATCCTCCAAACTGTCTAATCTGTACCTTTGCTGTTTATTTTTCCCTCTTAGCACTTCCCACTGTTTGTGCACATTTATCTCTCTTCCACAAAGGTGTGTCAGCTCCCTTTGAACAGAGACCTGGCCTGCTATCGGCTGTGTCACCAGGACCTGGCACACATGAAGCCTAATGTTGCTTGTTGTGACTGTGCATTTTACAATGCATGTGTATATTAAATTATGCTGCATACCTTTAAAAATCATGTTATACAACCTAAAATGTATACAATTTGTGTGTTTGTCAATCTTCCTCCAATAAAGCTGGAAATTTTTGAAAACTTTTTTAAAGCTGAGAAAATGTGTTGCCAGCAGATGTATATCCTACCAAAACAACACGAAAACAGACGGCAACGCACAAAGGGATGAAGAGAAGTGGTCAGTGTGTGGGAAAATGTGAAAGTTCTGACCCTTGAAGACAACGCTAGCATTTTCTGGAATTTATAACATACACATTAAAAATGGCAACAAAAAAAGACTAGAGGGAAGGACATGACGCTCAGCTGCTTCAAATTTCTCGCATTTATCAGAAAGTCACGACATAATCTCAGGTGAACTATAGGTCAAAATGAACACTAAACTCTAGCATAAAAACTGGAAGAACAGTAAAAGAATGGATAACTAGATTAAAAAATCGAATAAAACTATTTTATTCAAAAAATAACAATAAAAGAATAGAAAAACATGTTGAGAAACAAATAGCGAGATAATACACTAAAACCTAAATGCGTCAGCAATTACAGAAATGGGCTAAACACTAAGAATTTGAACACAAACTGGATTAAAACTAAAAGGCACACTTCAAGTATCAGCACAAGACATTTAAAGTAAATTAATGGGAGGGCACATGTAGCATGTACACTCTAACTGGAAGAAAACAGGTATCACTATATTGTTATAAAGTAGATTTTAAGGCAAAATTACCACTGAACACAGAGAACTTTTCATAATAGGATCAGTCCAGCAGGAAGATACAACAAGTCCTAACAGTATAGCTTCAAAATATATAAATCAAAAATAGAACTAAAATGATTAATTGGAAATTTAAACATACATCTTAATAACTTAGGGAATGAGCAGAAAAAAATGTAAGGAGATATAAGGATATAGAATATTTGAACTACATGATGGTTGATTGACCTAATTTGATGTGTATATATAAACACTATACATACGTTGTATATTATATATATATATATACACACATACATACACATACATATATACATATACATAAACATACACACATATATATGTATATATAATACTATATCCCGCAACTGCAATACAACATCTAATATTACTAAATGGTCGGCACACTTCAATCCACTGTAAATGGATACCTCTACCTAGTTATTTAATACATCCAGCACCTAACACTCATGCATTTGTGTGTGTGAGGACATTTAAGTTCCACTCTCTTAGCAAATTTCAATCCTACAACACAGCGGTATCACCATGCTGGTTCCACAAGACCCTCAGACCTTATTTACCTTATAGCTGTCCCCTTTCACCAGTCCCTATTTCCTGACTCCTTGCCCCTGACAGCATGGATGAACCTGGACATAGGCAGACACAGAAAGACAAGCACATACCGCGCGTGTCGCAGTCACGTGCTGCATAATGATATTTCAATCAGTGACAGACCCACATACGTGGAGATCCCATACGCTGAGAATTTCCTGTGGCCAGATGGCTAGAGATGTCTGGGGCCCTCCCTGGTCTCTGTGAGCTTCCCACAGACACCTCCCCTTTCCCAAACCAGTGTGACAACTGGACAACCCTCATAGTTCTTCCTAGGATTGCAAGATCCCCTACAAAGATAACCTCTAGGACACTTGTAAGGAAAAAGTCTCCTACTTCCAGACCTCACAACTGGTGCTCCGCCCCCCATCCCAAGGGCTGGCAAGGAGTCTACTTGAGACAGTTTTATGCAAGTGGAGGCCTGTGCTACTGAGCCTTATGTCAAGCACCTGTGTTACAGAAAGGAAAAAGCCAGTTGTCAGGACTCACAGCACAAATACTCATGTGTCTGGGGTGATGCTGGCGTCAACAAGCCTACCACGCTGTCCATCCTAGAAAAACAAGCACACACAATAGTAGGAGTGTTATGCCAGCTGCTGTAAGACACTCTGCAAGGTTTGCACAACCACAAAATGGCCCGACACATTTCTCAGAATGTTTCCCCATTGCTGGTGAAGCGGTACATGGCTGTATGTGGAAGCTTAGGAAAAAACAAAATTCTCAGAGTGTTGAAAAGAGGCAGCCTCCCCCTTAAAGTGTTTCCATTGGCAAGGCCACATTATACATTCTGTCTCTGCCCCTCTGGGGTGGACAGAAATTTTTGAAAAGTCTAAACAAGACTTTTCCAGGGTTTGTTGCCTCTTTGAAATGGGGGAGGGGCTGTTTCACGGGTCTAGGTTTCCTTTGGGGAGATGAAAATGTTTCAGAAGGGGATGGCTGCACATCAGTGTGAAAGCACTAGATGCCAATGAAATGTATGCATTAAACTGGTTAATTGTGTGTTATGTGAATTTCACCTCAATTTAAAAAAAAGGTAAGAAAAATAAGTATGAGGGGAAAAAGCATTTCAGATATTTGAGATATGTAGGGGGCATGAGCAAAGGAAGTAGGGCATGAGTGGAGTAAGGAGGAAGTGAGAGGACAATCTTTCTAGACCAAAAACAAAGTCCCCAAAGTAAGGATATGCCAAGGAAGGGCATGCAAATCCTATCCGGACTTTAATGAGACTGCATTTCTGAAACAATGGTTCTCAACCCTGGATGCATATTAGAATCACAGAAAGAGCTTTATGACGACAATGCGTGTATCAGCTGTGCTCCCTACCCCACAGGAGTGCTGATCCAACTGGTTTGGGGTGAGACCCACTAATGATAGGTTTTCTTAGACATTCCCCAAGTCCCCTTCATGTGGCACCAAAGTGGAGAAATCATTAGCTTTTTATTGTGGTCAAATGCCTGCTCCCTCAACTGAAAGTAACTGGAAGCAAATAGAAAACCAGAAATGGAGGCCACATGGTCTACCCCAAACCTTCATGCTCGGCAGTTCACTCCCTAGATGCAAAAAGACGACAATGGTCAAGGAGAATTCTGAGCCCATCTCCACCCTGAGACAGGCTCCTCAAGACTCAAAAACACTTGGGCTCTGATCAAAGTTTGTCTTTTGTCCTCTCCACCAGAGGGCACCTCCTGAACCATGCAATCATCTTAAGACCCAGCGATTAGGAGGAAGGTAGGAGAATGGAGATGTACAAATACACACGTGCCATCATTTGAGACACAGGAACCTATCTCTAGAAGAAAACCAGTAGTATGTTGAAGGTAATAGGTCATCTGCCTTTCTGATAATCCAAGGACCAATGAATTGTACTAAAAATAGCTCCCAACCTCTTGTTTACAACCCTTGAGAGACTGCAAGGCAAGGATAAAGGAAGAGAGAACAGAGTGGCCGCAGATAGTAGAGCAACATTGACAGGTTCACGCAAATAAAAATACAGATGCCCAAGTTTGAATTTGAATCCAGGTAAGTTTAAATTCCAGGTAAATAACAGATGACACCTGGGACATACTTAAATGGAAAAAAAAATGTTTGACTCCAATGTAGCTCCAGATGATGCCAATTCCAGTTGAAATTGAACTTCAGATAAATATTCAGGACATAGAGTAAAAAATTATTTGTTTGTCTGAAATTTAATTCCAGATGGCCCCGATTCCAGTTAAATTTGAATTTCAGAAACATGACGAATGGTATTTGGTACATGTATAGAAGAATTTCAGACAAACAACAAATAATTCTAATTTAACTGGACATACTGGGTTTTATCTGGCAATCCCATCTAGACTCAAGATCACTGCCTTCACCCATTCCCAGAGATAAGGCTGTCACAAGCACCTGAGTTGTCCCCCTTATTAAAATAGTGACTCCTGTCCAAGCAAACTTACAGATTCAATACTGGACCTAAGTCAAATTCAGAGGGTTCACCCTAAATGTGAGTAAAAAAATAACTTTGTAGTGAATTGGTTACATCAAAGACATTTGAGAGATGGGGGACAGGAGAGAGAATAAACAGAAAGGAGTAAAGGAGAGAAGAGATTTAAAATTAATGCTGAATTACATCCATCGCGGTATGGGCCACCGAACAGCACAGCCAAGATATGGAAACACTCTCGATGTCTGTTGACAGATAAAGAAAATGTCACACACACAGAGAAATATTATTCAGCCTTTAAAAAGAAGGAAATCCCACCAGTGGCGACAACATGGATGAACCTGGAGGATATTATACTAAGTGAGATCAATCAAACACATAAAGACAAATACTTCATGATCTCACTTATATGACGTTTCTAGAACAGACTGATTCACAGAAGAAAGTAGAACGGGGGTTGTCAAGGGCCAGGTGAGGAGGAGGTGGGGAGGTGATGGTCAAAGATGCAAACTTCCAGTTATGCAAGATGAAGATGTTCTGGGTATTTTCTACACAGCACAGTGCTTATGGCGAGGGATACTGTATTGTATACTTAAAATTTGCTAAGAGGGTAGATTTCAGTACCAAAAATTAATAATAATAAAGGGCAGGAGAAAGCTTTAGGAGGTAATGGGTAAGTGTATGGCCTTGATAGTGGTGATGGCTTCGTGAGTGTACATGCACCCCCAAACTCAGCTTTTTACATGTCAAAAAAAATGCCAATATATGAAAATGATCATAAATCCAAGTAAAAATTTAAAATGAGGTATCAAAAAGAAAAAGTACCTGCTTAAAAATATCCATAGTTTTGTCAGTCTTATGAATTAAGCCAAAAAAATCTCAAAAGTGATATAAATGAATGTTTATGACAGAGAG